CTTCCAATCTGATGGTACCACACCCGCAGATAACGATTTCTGGAATATTAACATGATTTGGAATGGCACACACTTGTCTATATAAGGTCTCAAATTTGATAGTGCATATCAGAGCAGAAACCAAGCAATGAAGTCCAAGGAATTGCCTGTAGACCTCTGAGACCGGATTGTGGCAAGGCACAAATCTGGGGAAGGATACAAAAGATGTAGGCAGCAATGAAGGTTCCCGAAAAGCACTGTGGTCTCCATTATTCGGAAATGGAAGAAGGTTGGAACCACCAGGACCCTCCCTAGATCTGGCCGCTTGACCAGACTGAGTAATTGGGGAAGAAGAGCCTTGGTCAGAGAGGTGACCAAGAACCCAATGGTCACTAAGGCGGAGCTCCAGTGTTCCCTTCTGGAGATAGCTATGGTTGGCCGCCTGGATGGTTCTAACGCACTCCACCAATCAGGCCTTCATGGTAGAGTGGCCAGACTGAAGCCACTCCTCACTAAAAGGCACATGGCAGCCAGCTTGGAGTTTGCCAAAAAAAACACAGGGATTCTCAGACTGTAAGAAGCATAATCCTCTGGTCTGATGAAACCAAAATTGATTTTTTTGCCTGAACTGAAAGTGTCATGTCTGGAGAAAAACAGGCACAGCTCATCACCTGGCTAACAACATCCCTACTGTGAAGCATGGTGGTGGCAGCATCATGCTGTGGGGATGTTTTTCTGCGGCAGGAACTGGGCGACTAGTCCGCATAGAGGGTAAGATGACAGCAGCCAAATATAGAGAGATTCTTCAAAATAACCTGCTCCAGAGTGCTCTGGAGCTCAGATTAGGGCGACGATTCATCTTCCAACATGACAATGACCCAAAGCACACAGCCAAGATAACACAGGAGTGGCTTCAGGAGCAGTCTGTGAATGTCTTTGAGTGACCCAGCCAGAGCCTGGACTTGAATCCAATCAAACATCTCTGGAAAGACCTAAAAAATGGCTGTCTACTGGCACTGCCCATCCAACCTGACTGGGCTTACATGCAAGAATGGGAGAAAATCCCCAAAAGCAGGTGTGTCAAACTTGTAGAGGCATACCCAAGAAGACTTGAGGCTGTGATTGCATTTACAAAGGTAAATATTAAGCCATGGGTGTGAATAATTATGAAGCACTGCATTAACAAGCTTTTTGCAATAAAAAAAAAATTGCACATCTTTGTAAAAAGTTGTTTTTGCCTTGTCATTATGGGGTGCTGTGTGTAGATCTTTGAGGAACAACTATACTCAAATCTGTTTCAGAATAAGTCTAATGTAACAAAATGTGGAAAAAGTGAAGGGGTGTGAATACTTTCTGGTGGCACTGTACTGTAGAATCTAGAAGGTATGTGTAATACACATGCCAAATTTAATCAAAAATGGTGATGCAATGGCCATTTGTTGAATTAAAATGGAATGACCCAGCCAAATTGTAATGGCCATTTGTTGAATTAAAATGGAATGACCCAGCTAAATTGCAACATGTTTAAAATCTTTAAAAAATAGAAATAATGAAATGATTGGAAGTCAACCTAAAGGATGTCTAAAAACATTTAATGTCATTTAACATGCTTTGTGCTCTCGCAGCTTTCTGAAAAATATGGAGTACATGTTTGTGGTGAAGGAGGAGAGTATGAGACCTTTACTCTGGACTGTCCACTCTTCAAAAAAAAAATTCTCATGTATGTATTGCCTGTACTTATGGCTTGGTTTATATTTACCCTTCTTATAATGAAAGCTAAAGGTACATCTAACTATTCTTGCAGTGGTGTCATGGATTTGAATACATAAGCAGGAACATTCTCAGCTTTTATAAACTGACTGTTGTGGTTTTTCTGCAGAGATTCCATGGAAACAGTGATACATTCAGCAGATGCTTTTGCTCCAGTTGGCTTTCTGCGCTTTTTAAAAATGCATACAGAACAGAAAGTTAATGTGAGTTTTGCTTTCACTAAAAATTTTAATCTTCGGTGGAAAAATTTTGCATGTAGTGGAATATATATAGTTTTTGCACCAGTCCACTGCTGCAGACACTTTAGTATGTGAGTCAATAACTCAAAAACCATTTGATAGATTTTTTCAAATTTTGCACAAGGTGAGGAACTAAAGGTGATTACATTTTGGGACAGATCAACCCAAAATTGAAGTAGTGCTGCATAATGATAGCAGAAAAACCTAAGAACATAAGAACTATACAAACAAGAACATAAGAACTATACAAACGAGAGGAGGCCATTCGGCCCATCGAGCTCGCTTGGGGAGAACTTAACTAATAGCTCAGAGTTGTTAAA